TGCATCTACAGAAGAGAAGGTACTTGACTGAACTCAGAATGAAAAGTCTCATCCAACTCTTGCACGCACTGATTCCTGAAAATTTTCTGAATGGGATCAGATTCCAGATCATTATCTTGGGATGTTTGTTAGAGGTTTTTGAACATCTCTATACGAAATTCGAAAAACAAACTTTGGTTACCTTCGTCTTACGTATCCTCATTTGAATTAGGTCTGAAACAGGTTTAAAATAAAATAATCACAGAGAAAATCGTTTTGACACCTCAAATTATTCGTTAATTGTTATCTCCACTTTGGATCCTTCTTCTTCGCGTAATTCACGAATTATCTCTTCTTCATCTTCATCTTCAATGGTCTGAAGCAGCTCGCGAACTACAAAATACGACTATATAAAAGCACGTTAGTTTAAAATATGCATCTTCTTTTAAGAGCAAAAATACTGTTAATTTCATTGGTCATGATTAGATTAAAATTTTACACCACTTGTTCTACGCGGGGAGAACAATAAGCCCCTCAAAGATACCAAGAAAATATCGAAAACATTGTGAATAACAACCAACGATTATTAACAAGAATCGCAATACATTTGCAATCATTCATATTATTTAATATATCTGCAACGAATTGAATAAAAGTACAAGATTTCTTTATGCGGGAGAAAAACACGTGCTTTAGAATGTCACGAACGGAAAAACAACACAAAGTAATATATGAGAAAATGATTCGGCCAAACTCTGTTCGATTCCAGAGTTAAAATGTGCGTTTTACTCCTTCGTTATCTTAAGTGAAAGCCAGTGTGCCATCAGTAAATTGATCGAAAAAATTTTGGACCGACTTAATGAGTAGTTGAGAGTAGAATTCGAAATTATGAATATATATCCGTATTATTCTGAAATCCATAATATTTTTATTAATTCGATTCTGAGTCCTGAGTTGAAATATCTTTGGATAATATGAACAACGGCCGTAACATCCTTTCCGTCCCTCTTCCCCACGACCTTCCATCGGCAGTCTTATCTGATAACTTGTCAATCAGAAAAGTGCCCCACTCCATCCCTAACGATAACCTGCTGGTCATACGTTATCAGAAATTTTCTACGTCCCATTCGCGAGCAGATTTGATCACTACTGATTTAATGTGCAGGGTAGAAAGGAAGAACACGCCACACATACGCCATTTTCATGCTTGCATTTTATCATGGAAACAACCCATTAAAACTCCTTACTTCCACCCCCTCTTCCTTCCACTTTCTCAACCTGCATAAGCTGTATGAAAATGTCTTTCTGTGCCTGGTGATGTTATACTGCAACAAAACTCGGATGTTTCAATCTGTGGAATAAGCGAGTTTCTTTTTTGTGATTTGTAAGCAGATGCCACACCTCAAATTACATCTATAATTTCACTCTCGTAGTGTGGGACAGGAACTCGCTGTTTCGGGCCACAATGTTACTGAAAGAAACAGATTCCTAATTTTGTGTATTCAAGCATAGATTTGAGTAACTAAACGTCTTAAATGAATTTTAATAGTTTATATTTTGGAATTCTGTGACTCGTCAGGAATTACTTAATCGACTGTCGTTTACTAAGAGGCACGTTTTAACCGAATGGGAGAAGGCTGTCGTAAAAGTCCAGTTACTTAACACGGCTGTTCCATGGATATGCAGTAAACCGTTAAAGATAGTCAGTGCGAAGTGTCTGTGACTAATTATTTTTTGTCCTGTGTTGTTTATATATCGTTCAAAATGTCTAAAAGGCCCGAAAGTGATAACTGTACGGTTGACAGTGATAAGTAGAGGAAATAGTTAACGTTAAACTGTTGAACAGAAAGCGAATCTGTTACAGAAACTGGACAGTGGTGTAAACCAAGACTTCTTGATAGTGATGAGCAGAAGCTAATTCAAAATATAAAACCATTGCATAACGCTAACAACGGAGATCTCGATTGTGTTTTCTGAAAGAGCGGGTTTGTAAGCGTCGCAGTGAACATGTGCCACTTACCGATAAAATGATTATGGAACGTACAAAAGTATATCATAAGACACTAAAAATGGAAGGAAAACGTAAATATTCAAAAGGTTGGATTCAAAAGCAAAACAAGAGATATGGCATTAAATTTTAAAAAATTTGTGACGACAAAGCACCAGTTGGTAATGATGCCGCGGAGAAATTAATAGAGGAATTTGCAGACGAAAATTTGAAGACTTAAGAAGTATATACTGCTGAAGAAACGTCACTGTTTTGGCGTTGTCACCACTGGAAGTTACCGACAACAGCTGGTGAGGCAGTTCAAACAGGAATTAAGAATGCCAAGAACAGATCAGATGTGCTGGGATGCACAAACGCAGCAGGCACACATAAGTGTAATCTTACTGCAACAGGCAAGAGCTTGCGTCCTCCCTGTTTTAAAGGAGTGAAATTTTTACCAGTTCATTATTATGCTAACAAAAATCCTGGATCACGAGGGACATTTTTTCTAATTAGTTTCTCAAACAGTTTGTGTCAGCGGCTCGTGCTCACTGAAGGAAAGCTGGATTGGATGACGATTGCAAACGTTCCTTATTTCTTGACAACTGTTCTGCTCATCCTCCAGCAGAATTACTCATTTAAAATAATGTTTATGCCTTACACTTGACTCAAAAGGTAACATCATTAATTAAGCTTTGTGACCAAGATATTCTTAAATCTATTAAATGTAAATATAAAAACTCATTCTTGAAAGCAAGCTGGCAGCTGTTAACAGAGGCGTCAGTGTCAAAGGTTTTCAGAAGGAGTTTAACTTAAAGGACGCCGCTTATGCTGTTGCTAACGCTTGGAACACAGTGACTAACGATACAGTTGCACATGTATGGTACAACCTCTGGCCTGAGATCATTCTCAGTGATTATGACGGAGAAACTGGTGGATTTGAGAATACACGATGCGTGATTTCCTCTCACATGCAAAACAGGTTCCTTCAGAGATTGTCAATAAGCTAGAAAAGGTGGATATCGACGAAGTCTTTAACAAAAAATGATGCTCCAGCTATTCATTCAGTGACTAGTGGCGAAATAGGTGAAATGATTATAAATCAAGAAGATCATGGAGATACTGAAAAAAAGATTAAATTATTACAACTGCAGTAAAAATGACTGAGTAAAAAACTTTGATAACTCGTTGAAGGACTGGAGCAGTGTGAATTAAATACATAAATACATAAAAGATTTTCAGAAGAAAAATCCTTGGAGGATTCAGTTCTTAGTCAATCAACCTCATAGATGTTCTTTCTCTGGATGGTAAATAAATAAATATATGTGCCGTTTGTCATTGTACTCTGAAGACGGACCGAGCTTGGTCCGAAACGTCAGATGTCCCTAATTAAAGACTATTTCAGGCATTGTCTTCCCGTTTGTGACTTACCTAAAGATTTTATCACCTCCCGCATAAAGAAATCATGTACGAAAAAAAAATAAATGTAAATAAATAAATATATATTCTTTTTGATGCATTTTATACCTTTTCTATGCCAAATAAAAAGTAATTTTTCTGAAAGTCTGAATTCTTTCTCAATTCTTTTCAACTCTACCATATCATGTATTCCAAAATCCAAATTCTGAAACAATCTTGGTCCCAAGCATTTCCACATGCTCATGCCCATGACTTGCTGCCTCCATACAAGCTATGCCGTGATGACGCCTACAGCATGCACAGCGAAACGCGTTGGCAATAAAGTACAAACATCTGTGTTGTTTGATGCCCTAAACCATAAATCGGTAATCTATCTGCAATTTCAGAAACGGACCCAGAATCAGAATTTCAGCCATTCATATACGCTAAAAAATAAACTTAACTTCGGCGCTCATTTGATATACTTCATTCATAAAACAGAATGGCTAAGAAAACAAGCTAATATATGGAAAAGAAAATCACGCAGAATAAAAAGTATCAACTAGAAGATGCGAAAAATTATATTATGAGAAAAGCCACAAGATTCATATTTTCAAGATAAACGATTAAACAAATCAGACAGACTCACCAGAAGTGACTGGTTTGTATGATTCGTCGTCGTCAGACGAGTCTGAAAAGAAGCTGTCGGCG